CCTCCATTTGGGTCTGAGCAAAAACCTCTGTTCCAACTTCATCAAGCCTTACATTTTCTTCAGACAGAGATAAAACATCTTCTGATGTGTTGCATTGTTTAAAGTTTTCTTCCTTTTCTTTGAGCAACAGCGAAAAATTGTTTGTTCTATTTTTGCTGTCTGCGGAAGAAWGAAAGGTGTTTCTCTGGGGGGCCAAACTTTATTCCCTGTGATTTTCTTTTTCCTGGTGAAAAATAGTCATTGAAAACTCAGCTGGACCAAAGGACTTCCTAATGCTGGTTCTTCTCTGACACAACCAGCAGCAGCTGTTCTGAGGGGGAGTAAAACAAACTTTGTATGGATTTATCCATTCTTAAATGCATCATCCCACTTGCAAGGGAAATAATTTTTTTTTTTTTTAGTGGAGAAGTTGCTCTAATCAGGTGTTTATGCACAGAAACAGAATGGTTTGGGCTGGAGGAACATTAAAGCTCATCCCATTCCACCCACACTTTCCACTAYCCCAGGTTGCTCCAACCTTTATGGGAAGGAGCTGAAGCCCCCAAGAGTAGGGTGCGATGGAGGAGCTCAGTTTTCCAAGGACCCCAGCTGAACAGGCCCTAAACAGCTGAGAAACCTCACTGGACAATCCTGGGTTATCCTGATTTGATTTTTAAACAACTTTTGGAAGCAGTGGGAATGGTGGGAACAAACAGGGTGCATTCCCAATGGCAACAGGACATAATAACTCAGGCAAAACACAACAATAACGCAGCTCTATGGGATTATTGGAATGTGCTGCTGTCTAACAAGTGCAGAGCAGAAGGTGACCAGGCCTGGATCTGTCTGCCAGCTCCAAAACATCCATAATTAGATCTTATCAGTTCCTTAACGCCCTGCTTCTGTCTGCACTTTGTTTACATCAAGAAACCAATTATCCCATAGCGAGCCAGTCGAGGTCAAGCAAATAGAGCTCAATGCGCTCCTGTATTTTCCAAGTGTTGTAATTACAGAGCTGAATTATTGCCAGATTTCAGTGAAGGTAAATGAGAGCCCTTCTATGCACACACCACAGTYATGATGCTTCTTCCTCTTGGAGAAATTGGGTGACACAGAAATCTCAGGGAATGCAGAGGTGCTCCGGCATAAACTGGAGTCTTACAACAGCAAGACGTTCCTTATCCTTTCAGGTAAGGAAAATGAGTGATTAAAACTCAACAGAAACCTGATCAGAAACATTTCTGAGCATAATTTGCCTGCCCATGGCAGGGGGTTGGAACRAGGTGATCTTTAAGGTCCCTTCCAGCCCAAACCATTCTGTGATGTTATGATAATGCAGCACATTTAAATGTGCTTAAAATATGCAACAGTTACAGTGGGACTGAGGAAATTATTAATTTCTTGAAGTCGTGAATGTTCTGCAGCTTTCAGGAATTTGGGGATTTTTAACTCCTGGTAAAAAAGCTTAGTTGAGACCCTAAACTGTTTCTTTTCAAAACATCATCAACCTCCCTTAGAAATGCTCAGGTTTTGAGTTTTGGTTAGGTTTTGGGTCAAAATCTGTCTCTTTAGACAAAATACTTTTAACTGAATATATCCATGGCCATAAAACTTCCAAGAAAATTTTCTGGACAGWCATTTATTGAACAGCTTCTACTTCATCATTCATAACACAAAGATTTAAAAACCAGAGTTTCACCTGCTCCACACAAACACAAAACCCCAGAATGGTTTGTTTAGAAGGGACCTTGGAGACCACTCATTTCCAACCTTCCACTATCCCAAAGAATTCCAAACCCCATCCAGCCTGGTCTTGAACACTTCCAGGGATGGGCAGTCCCCACCTTCTCTGGGCAACAGTCAGGGAACATGGGAATAAACTTCCAGGGATATTTGATGCAGGATTCCAGTGCCCCCAGCGAGGCTGTGAGTGGTGCCTGTGCACCTCGTGTYCCCTTGGTGCTTCAATTTTAGCTGGGAGCTGCATTAAGAGGATGGGGAGCATGAAAAGATTTCCATTGAAGAATCACCTTCACCCTTAAAATGTGATTTTTTTTCCCCCACTGTAGAAACAAGGACACATTTCTTTATCCCAAAGAACAACAGTTGCATTTCCAGCAGCTGAGGGATGCTGAACAGACAATGGGAAAGTCTCAGATCATTGAAATCCTCCTTCAAAAYCTGTGAGGTTCTACAGGTGGGAATGTGGCAGGAACAATGCCCTGAGTCCCTTGATCCAAATAAATAAATAATTCACCACCAGGTAGAGTATCTTGAGGAGGTTTCTCAGGAGAGGGGGCTGTGGAATGAAACCCAACTGCGCTTTGCAGCAGGCTGAAGTGAAATAAAACTTGGCATTTACAACCCTGCATTGTATTTTATTCTGCTTTTCAGGGGTGCATCCAAAACTATCCAAGCAGGAGGAAAACTCACTGCAAATTGGCTGCCCCAATACAACCAATTTTGAGCTTTTGTAGGTCTTTTTAAGCAATCACAGGAGGGGTCAGGTTGGAAGGGGTCGTTAGTCCAATTCCCTGCTCCAGCAGGATCATCCCAAAGCACGGGGTATAGGATTGTGTCCAGATGGGTCTGGAATAGCCCCAGTGAGAAAAACTGGAATGACCCCAATGAGGGAATCTGGAATGACCCCAATGAGGGAAACTGGAATAACCCCAGTGAGGGAAACTGGAATAACCCCAKTGAGGGAGCCTGGAATAATCCCAGTGAGGGAAACCAGAATAACCCCAGTGAGGGAGACTCCACTGAGCAGTAAGAGGGATCACTTCTAAGAAAATTCTGTTCTTCCAGACTTGTCCCTGTGAATCCCAGTTAAAGGATTAAAGGATGTTTCTGGAAGAGGGGTGTGAAAATCCTGTCTTGATAAAGTGAAGTTAGACGTTCCACTGGCTCAGGCTCTCTCCTAAGGTTATAGAGTCCCAAAATACGAAGAATTTGTTAACAGAATTACAAATAAGATGAGTAATAATCCCAGAAGAGGAATTCCTAACTGATGGTTTTCTTCTTCGAGTGTTTGTTCTAGGATCAGAGAARTCCAGAATGGTTTTGYTTGGAAGGGACCTTCAAGCTCATCCAGTTCCACCATCCCACATCGCTCCAACCCCATCCAASCCAGCCTTTCATTCCCATTCCCAYGGGCTGGAGGGAGGRAAAATGAACTGCAGTTCCCTTTTCCCATCCCTCCCATCAGACTGGGATGCCAAAGCCAGCAAATGCCAGGGATTATCATCAGAGTGGTGTTTGAGCACTGTCCCACTGTGAGTCTAACAGCAAAAATCGGGATGTGCAGCTTTTCTGTTCTTTCACAGCACAGATGGCACCAGCCTGAGCTTTCACCACTGAAGCCCAGCACTTGAAATCACAGCCTGGTGGAAAATCTAGGGCAATTTTAAAAGAATGGAAGCTCCCAGGTTTGACAGGAAAGTTACAGAGTTCCTTGGGAATGTTTCAAAGACAGGTGTTTAATAAAATTTTGCAATTTTTTAATTAAATTCTGTTGTGGATTTTTACAAATCGTTTACAACGAGCAGCGATAGAACCAACACCCAGCACAAACACTGGAAACCTGATCTGATCATGACATAGGGAAAAAAAAAAACAACAAAAGAAGCTTCTTTTGTTAAAAAAAAAAAAAATTAACAGCATGGACTGCATCAATATCAGACTGTACCAGAACCCTCTGACCCTTCCTGCTGTAAGAAATTCAAAGAAGAATCTCTACATCCATCTTCACCTYAGAGCTCAAAAGGTTAAAATCATTTTCCATTTGCTCCAACAGAAAATTCTAAAACAATTGCTTGTTCCACTGCTCTAAAAATTCATTTATGTTTCCCAAATCCACAGAGGAGGGGACACTGACAGAAAGGAAGCACTGGATTGGAGGAACTCTGCAGAGAAGTTGAACAAATCAYGTTGGAAACTGAAGAGTGACACCCACAAACATTTTTCCTCTTCAACCATGAAACTACGCCWACATTAGTTGAGGCTTATTGTGATTTTCTGCAATCATCAATCGAAAAGATCATTTCTGGAGTATTAAATTCRTGGGTATCAAGGAGTTATTTAATATTTACTTCAACATCACAGATAGAGAAGCATTTAATAGAACATAAAACATTTCCTAAGGCACTTTGATCCACCCTGCGCATGTTAATAGAGAAATAAAAACTTTGTCAACAATTCAATTGCATCAAGACAGCATAAGAAWTTTTTTTTATCCTCTGTAGCAATAAATTTTAAGAATAATTATCATAGAAATCAACTTCTTTCTTCCCCAACAAATCTCATAGGCTTGCCTTAAGGACTAACTGCTCCTTCTGAAATGAGAGCTCTGACAATTCTCAGATTYGGGTAAAGTCCAGATCTTGGTTGGAGAAGGGTGATTTTAATCTATTTTYGGATGTTTATTCCTTCCAGCAGTAATTAATGTCTCTGGAGAAACACCTTTTCAAGTCTTCAAAAAGGGCTCAGAGAATGCCATTTTCATAGAAAAGAGACAGACACAGTGAAATTAAACTTCTCTTTTCTAACCGGCCCCATTTCCAGCTCTGATGGCTCCCAACAGGAGTTCTACAGGACTGTTCACAAGGTCAAGGACAAACCAGCAGGTTTGGTTTGGGGCATGGAAATGGGAACAACTCTTCAAATACAATAGATCCCAAACAGCTGAAATTCCTTGCATGGCTTAAAGTGTGGAGAATCATGGATCACCTCCAGAATTTTGTTTAACCTCATGAATTATCACATATAAAAAGCTRCTATTTTGGAATTTTTAGGGAATAAAAGACAGGATTTACATTTTCTGCTGATATAACTAAGAAAAAATATTTTTAGTATATTTCTTTATGTGGAAATTACATATAAAGGACATTTCCCAAAATGAATGGAAAATGGCAGGAGCAGCCCAGATTCTGAAACTCAAAGGAGTCAKGCTGAAATTAAGAAATCTGAAATGCAGAAACACCACAGAGCATTGAGATTTTATTTTCAAACTGATGCCTTACCAAACAGAGCCATCTGTGTTCCCTCTGGGAAAGGTTCGACCATTCTGTTCCCGTTGACATGATGTTTATCTGGAAGGGGGAACAAAAATCCAAGTTAAAATGTGATTGAGTATTTGCTTTGCATAAAATCAACTGTTTTTATCTCACAGATCCATTGAAACCTGAACAATTTCCATAGGCAGGGACACCTTCCACTATCCTAGGGTTGCTCCAAGTCCCAACCTTGGACACTTCAAGGGATCCAGAGCAGCCACAGTTTCTCTGGGCACCCTGTGCCACAGTCTCCCTACCCTCCCAGCCAACAATTCCTTCCCAATATTTAATTTAAACCTCCCCTCTTGTAGTTCAAAACATTTTCACCAGCATCCCCACATTCATTTTTTGCTCCTAAGACCCATTTTAAACAATGGTGGCAAGAAACAAAATTACCAGAACTCAAAACACAACTTTCAGTTCCCAAAATACTTTCCATGGAGAAAAGGTAATTTCTCAGTGCATGAATTATTTTAATTCCTTGAGTCCTGATCTTGGTGAGGAATAAACCAGGTCAAACAAGGAATGTGGRCTCACTTGTGAATTGTCTGAAAACAATATTTTTCATTAGCAGGGAGGCACATTCCCAATCCCAGCTGCCATTCAAGTGAGAAGGGAAAATCAGGGTTATCTGCAAATGGAGCAAGAGGTGCCACGAGTCAATTGGTGGCATTTAGGAAAATTGAACGTCCTGTGCCCCAAGAGGGAAGCTTTGGGAAGGAAATTGTTGGGAGGCTCCAGAGTGGGAGAAACATGATCAAGGTTTCAACCTCGTTAGCTGAGCCGATATTCCCAACATGATCTACGGCCACGGGAGAGGAGCGAGCAGTCAGAAAAATTAGAGAACATCTTGTAAGATCAAATAAACTAACCCTGCCCTCGCCCTGATAGCTGCCTTCATTTACAGAGTGAGTGACATCCATGATGTATGAAGCAGTTATCATTTCAAATGGCCGGGCTTTCAATATATTAAAATGAAAATTAAACTTTCAGAGGTGAAGACGGGCTTGAATGAAAGTAATATTTTCAGAGTTCTCAAGTTGTCTCCCAATGTCTTCGCACTTTTCGTTTCAAAGATCTGAGCCAGATAAAATGATTCATTTTCTTGTCATTCATACTTTGATTCGCTATTTTTTTCCACTGTTTCCTGCACAGATGCACTAAATGGTAAAAAAATAAACAAAAAAAAAATCCCAAATTTAARAGGACCTTCACAAAATACACATTCAACCTTAGGAAGAAAATAACAACACAGAAGAAACAATGTGGAAGCACCAACAACTCTCCCGAAGGAGAGAATAGGCCAGTTTGGGGATATTTACTAAAAAAAATAAACTGATTTTTTACTGATTTTTCTATGTGAAAATATTTCAGTTCTCACCTACAAACTGGATTGATGAACTCCAGAAAATCAGGAATACTTTGCCCCCATGGAATTAGGAAAAAACCAGGACTATCCCTCTAATTTGCCAACAGAAAGAATAAATTATTTTTTCCAAGCTCATTGTCATTCCAGAGACAAGGGGTTGCAGTAAATGGCATAAAACCTGGTGTTACAGAGACAGAGAAGGAATCAGTCTGTGGGGTTAATCCAACAGTGGATGTGGAAAAACTGAATTGGGAGAATGTGGATCATCAAATCCCAGAATGATTTGCTTGGAAAGGACTTTAAATCTCATTCAGTGCCAGCCCCTGCCATGGGCAGGGACATCTTCCCCTATCCCAGGTTTTCCAAGCCCCATCTAGCCTGGCCTTGGACATTTCCAGGGATGTCTTTATGTCTTTTTTTTAAAATCTATTTGATCCTCGTGGTTTTAAAGGGAAGCCATTTGTAAAGGAATAGATTATTTTATTTTACTGATACTCAAGCTGCCAGAATTTTCACTAACATAAACTCACAAACAACAACCTCTCAAAACTTCCAGATGCTGCTCCATCCTCRACTGCCAAAACTCTCTAAATTTCCCAAACTAAGCCTGAGAGATTCCTGTTACACCCTTTGCTCCCTGCTGAACACAACCAGTAGGAGCTGAAAGGAACACAAACCCTGGAGGACTCGACATTCAGCTTCAGCTTCAGGCAAAGTCTGCTACAGACAGGTGCAGCTCCTGACTCGTGTTCCTCACATTCTCTGGATTTTAATAGAAATAATCCTTCAAAGACCCAAAATACATGGAAAGTTAATCAAAAGCTGCTCAATGAGTCCTCAATATTTCTTAGGCATTGCTCAGTTTTTACACCTCCCTAACAAAGTCTTAAAACTGCCCCTGGCTAAAGAATCACTGACTTCAGGTGAAGCTCTGTCCACACATGGATTATTCCAGAAACATGGAATGGTTTGGGTGGGAAAAGGACCTTAAAGATCATCCCATTCCACCCCCTGCTGCCCTCCCCACAAGTCCCTATCTGTACCAATAAACCATTCAAATGGACAAGACTCACCTACAAACTGAGTGTTAATTAGCCCAGCTGAAATCCTGTTTGATCCCATCCCAGGAAATTCATCAGCGTGGCCAATCGAGTTCCAACGCCCGGACCTGTTCCCTGGCACATTTTAATTTATTAGGATACATTTCATTTATCCTTCCAGTTCCACGTGTTGATGGTATCACACCCGTAATAGATAAATTTCTATTGAATAACATATAAATTTCTGTTTTCTAAAGATTAAGTATGTTCAAATGAGAAAGTTCTATAAAAAATATTTCCTTTCAAACCAGCCTGATTTAAGTTCCAACCCAATTTATGTGCTCAGAGGAAATTTAAAGAACTCTGGGTTAGGATACCCCCAGTCATTTCATGAACATCAGTTCCCTTTYTGTGGACCCAAATGAAGCTGCTTGGGAAAGATTTGGCTTTCAGAGAATGCTGATCCAGCAATGAATGAAAATCAGGAATTTTCTGGTCTCAAAATATTCAATCTCAAGCAATCGCAGCAAAGATTTGAGAACATTTAAATTCTATTAATAAAAGATTCATATGTTCTTCATATTTGTCTTTTGATTTTTTTAAGCCATTAGGGAATATTTAGATTACATATCCAAACTTGTTTTATCAGAGCAGCCAGAAAGTTATTATTTTTAAATGAAAACCGAGATTCTCATATAATCAAATTAATCCAGGAGTAGGGGTCATATTTATAGGCAAGGACTGTTAATTTTCCACGGTAAGTACAGCCAGGAATTGAATTGAAAATAGCTGATTAACCAATTACCAGGAGCCTCCTCCATCTCCTAAAGCACAGCCACAGTGGGGATGGGGGAAAGGAGGAGGAAAAGGGAGGGAAAAGGGATGGGAACATCCCAAAGCAAATCCGCTGCTGATTGAAGGACTCTTTTTCCCTTTCTCTTTTGCCTTTTCCTACAGTTCCCATCACACCACCATGGTGAAGAGTTTTGGCTACTGAGGGGTTGAGAATTTGGGAGAAAACACAGAGCAGGGAATTATAAGGATTTTTTTTAAGTTATCCAGTTATAAAATGATCTCACAGGTTATTATTTCCAAAAGTGGAATATATGGCATAATATAAATCAGAAGAATTACAAGATGGGCACCAAAGACAGCACATCATGGGTTTTGGGGGGTTTTCCTGTGCCAAGGACACAATGATCCTTGTGAGTCCCTTCCAGCTCAGGATATTCTGTGATTCTGTGCTTTTATGAAACTTTCAGTGTCAGCTGTGCAGGACATGTACAGATAATATTTAGTGTAGTCTCATATTCATTTTTTTAAAAAAATCTGTAGGCAATAAATGGGCATAAAACTCAGTTCCAGGCCTATGTGACAAAGATTCCTTTCATCTGAACAAGGAGGGGTGAAGYCAAATGTCCAGTGTTGAATAAGCAAGTTCTTTAAAAGCCTCTTAAATTGTAGATGTGAGAGGAGGAACCCATCCCCAATCACATCCCAGCCCCCTCTCTGCAGCAAAATAATGAAAAGGAGGATGWCAGATGCCACTGGAAAACTCAGAAYATGRAGAMAGATTGGTGGAATTTCACTGTAACCCACAGCTGTGATTTAAAAAATCAATGAATGGCCAAGTTTAATTCCAATGTCGGGGTTTGTATCCTTCAGAAAGATCACAGCACAGTGAATTAGGGAATTCCAGGATGGTTTGGGATAAAAGGGACATTAAAGATCATCCAGTCCCAACCCCTGCCATGGTCGGGGACATCATCCACTATCCCAGGTTGCTCCAAGCCCTGTCCAACCTGGCCTTGGACACTTCCAGGGGTGGGAATGGTACAATGAGAAGATCTCAATACACTGAACATAGCTGAAGACCAGTGGGTTTCCTTTCTGCCTTGCAAACAAGAATTTTTCTCATTTTTTATTTTCAGTGAAAGATTGCAACATCTAGAAGGAAAAAATGGTGGAAGTCTGGCAGTGCAGTATCACCATTTAACCTGTAATAAGGAAAAGTTCCATAAGCATCACCAAGAGGAAAAATCCTAAGGTAAATGCGACTAAAGTTGAAAAAGTAAGGAATTCACTGCCCTTGGGTTTAGGTTCAACTGAGGAAAATTCAGTGCCATGGAACCAAAACCAGCCTTTCTAACCAGTATTTACTAAACACATATTTCCTTTTTTAAATTTAACCTTTTTGAATTTAACCTATTTAAATTTTCCTTTTTTAAATTAACTTTAGTTTTTATCCAGTACCTGTCAGCAGAGGCTGAGCCAGACCCCTGTTCACTTTTTCAAACATCCCTATCCAGTGACATCCAGGAGCTGGATTCAATGATTCCAGTGGGATCAGGATATTGGGATTCTCTGATCCTTTACAGAGCAGAAGTCTGCAGGCAGCACTGAATTTATTAACAGTGAATTAACTTTTCTAAAARCACACACTTCCATTAGGCCATATGGAAACAGCACATTAGCACACTGCTATTAACACATGACASGAATAATGTGTTATTCCCATTTCCAAATATAAAACTTACTCGATATCCTCAAAACAAAACTTTGTTTCGGTGTATTTGCGTATTATCTGATGAGAATTTCACTGTATTTTGTTCACYTGCTTTAGAAAA